TTGTTCCACCAAAGACTAGAACCTTCTATTTTGATAAATGGTAGAGAAGAGTTCTAAGTAATCGTGATATTGCGGGCTTAGGGGTTCGAGTCTCAGCTCGGTCCAACGTTGTGTCCTTGGGAAAGACACTTAACCAAAGAATTTCCCATTTGGTTCCCTCCTTTCGGAGAGGACGTTAACCGTTAAACTCCCCACCTCTAAAATAACCTTATAAGGGCGTTAAACCTGTACCATTTAACCATTTTAACCAAAGAGTTCTTAAAATGTAGGTCTAGTTCTAGATCTTTTATTTAGTTGCAGATTTAGAAGTGCATTTGGCATTGTCGCAGAGACGTAGATGTAGACTGAAGTAAGAAATAAGAATCTTCTTCGCAGAAAATTTGTTGCACATGAAATCAGCTTAGCTTAGTTGACTTCAGCACTATGCTACTTATGCTAGATCTAGATTGATTGTATGAAGGGCAGGCCCTATATATAGTTGATTTCTCAAACAGGATTTTTTATTAGTATTTGCTTTTTTCACCAAAGACAAAGCTGACTCCTGCTGAAAAAAGTAATAAAGGAGAGACAGCAAGAGGCGAAACAAGAACCCAGTGAAGACGCTGCACGACATGCAGTATGAAAAGCAGAACTGCATCAAAGACAAAGAACAAAGGGAAAGGAAACCTGCCGTTTGTATGATTTCAAGAGACCATTTGGCAGCATTATGGAATGGAGAAAAACAAAGAAAGACACAAATTTGAAGAGGAAATCAAACTGTGCCAATGACAAAATAGCAGGTGCCCCGTACTCGTGTGTTATTTTTTTTTCTAGACTAAAGTGTAGGTTTGCAATGAAAACAGTGCTGAGAAAAAGAAAATTAAAGTTGAAAATGAAAACTTTATCTGAGAGCAAGAAGGCAGTGAAAAGAATACTGACATTTCCTTTTGCCCTCCTGGATAAATTGAAAGACTGATAAAAGAAAACAAAACTATTCGAATGTTGGCTTCTGGAGAAATTTTAAGAAAGTACAAAATCCAGAGTAAATTTTAATTTTGTAGAACTCTCAATTTATTAAAGAACAAAAGGAAACTGAAGAAAAAAGTGCTTTCAACTTTGCAGATGGATAAAGTGCACATTTAGGATTTTTTTTCCTTTGGCCTGACAACTCGAGAATTTTTAACGGTTTAAAAATATTGTTACCTTGACAGATTTTTTAAAACCCAAAACCGTTTGTTGAATGACATCGTAGAACATCTGTACAGACAGCACCAGAGCAGTTCAAACATTTGTTTAACAAGCTTTGGGAGTGGAAGCTATTTAATCATCAGATCAAAACACTTGTACGCGCAAGATTTCTGATAACACAGAGCTGACAGCTGACGTCATGTTTATGCATCGTGTTCATCTGAAGGTTATTCCTGCTCAAGTTTGGCCAAAACATGCATGCACAGATCATGTGATCTTAGAAACCCAGTCCCACTACTAAACATCACCATCGACGGGACGCAACTCAAACAAGTTGAGGAATTTAAATAGCTTGGGAGCATGCTAACACATGACGGAAGATTGGACATAGGAAAATTGAAATCAGGACCCAAAAGCAAATGCACAAACCTATAAATAGCACTATTCACCCATAAACACCTACCAATGAAAGTAAAAAGACAACGACTTATTCACAGCATATTCCTTCCAACACTGATTTACGATATAAAACAGGAAGACGAAAGACTGATAAACAAAATTTGACAGGGAATAAACCGGTTATGGAACAAGAACATCAAAGAATGAAGTGGTTCAGTCATCTGATGAGAGTGTCACCAAATCACCGAGCTTCACAAGCTTACAACTCTAATATGTCCGGATACAAGGGCAAGTGCAGACCACGCAAAACTTGGCTGGATAGCGTTATAGAGGTCCTCCGAAAGAATAACATTTCAACAACAGAAGCCACCTACACTGCCCTGGATTGAAAATTGTACCCCCCCCCCCCCTCCCCCAACATCTACTGATGTAAGAGGAAGGATGAAGCAAAGTAAAAGGATCCAATCCTAGCATACTCTGAAGACATGAGACTCACTGCAACGTGATGGGTAGTAATGAAAGAAAATAGAAATCCCGAACGGTGAACAGAAGAAAATAAGAATCACTAAAAAGAGAACAGAAACTGGGAGGCTGATGCCATTGTGGGCTTTTTTCCAGAAAACGTTTGGAAAGTACAAGTTATACGATTCTAATATTGACCATCAGTTTAAGGAAAGACATGGAGCAATCTTCAAGCCAGTGAAGCAAGAGTATATGCTCAAAATTGTTTGAGTAAAATGGAAGAGGAAATACAAAGCACACACGTTGGGGCTTTGCAAAATCAGCTGTCTGCACTACACACTGGTAACTTTACTTTACTCTTATTTTATATGATCTCTTATACTGCGTGGTGTCGAGGAGAGATTCAGTTCTTGGACATGGGCCAGGTGTGTTGCTTTTCGGATCGGCGTATTGTGCCTTTGAAGGATGTCTTGGACTCCATCGATCCATCTTTTTATTAGCCTTCCTTTTGCTCCCCAGCCATCGAATTGCATCTTGTAGACCTTTGAGGCTGGCAGTTGTGGCCCTATTCTCATTACGCTTCTAAAACATCCTCTCGATATATTTCGTTTCGACGCCCTCTTATTGTTTGATGCCTTCGTTCTTTTACACTGGTAAATAATGTCTCGACAGACATATGTTACATGCTTTCAACATTCCCATTCATTCTTCGGTTATTCCTTTAGATGATATCACTAATATAAGTGTTTCTGAGTTTTGTTGTTAAAACCTGATAACAGTCTTTTATGTTCCCTCCTGTTACCCACTTTCTCTCCTGTTACCCACGTTTCCCTCCTGTTACCGCCCCTCTTTACGTTCATTTAAAAAATCTTGAACTTTGCTTTTAAAAAGTAAATGTGGGATTAGCTTCACCTTAGAGCTAAAAGGAATAGAAATTCATATGATCACAATGTGTTTGATCTTAGAGTGAGAATCACCAACTGAAATCTAAAATTTTCACTGATTTTTTAAATTTGGCACTTAAATCCGAAATAATTTTGCGTGGATTGTTAAACTGAAGTGCTTTTTTATTATTTGCCAGATGAATAGACCTAGTTTCACCAACATATAGTGCATTAACCCCCCCAAAACCTATTCCAGTAACACAGCTCTATGATTTCTGTTGTAAGAACTTTTTCCTAGGACACTAGCGCAAAAGTTGCCGTGACGCTCTAATTTGACCGAATTAAGCTCAGATATTTCACATTTATGTCTATAGATGGTTGATTCATTTCATCAATATTACTTCGAAACTTTTCATAAAAATTTATTTTTCGAAAAATTGAGAATCTAAAATGTGACATTTTTTTTAAAATGACTCACATACTGTCCACCCCGGTCATAATCAGTCGTAAGACACAATGTGCTATTTGGCACTACGAGGCTCGAAAGGCTAAAAAGTGACTTTCCATTAATTTTTTCTTCTTTTTTTTTTGGGG